ATATGTTATTAATGCAAGTTCCTGATCTCTAGGGACTTCCTTTGCAGGTGCTTTGCCTCCTCTGTGAATGTGTTCCCTCCCTGAGGGCAGAAACGTGGTTTAAATATTATCTGTCTCTATGCTGCGTTCTAACAAGCCAAGCATGACAAGTCTACTCCCAGGCCTTTGCCCACACTGTTGCTTCTCACCTCTCCAAATTCTAACCTTCCCCAGGGCACAACTTTGAAGCTGTGACTATCCACAGGAAAAAAAGATCATCCAGTGCAGTCACTGAGAACAAGGCTACCTCAGATGGAGGAGCCATGTCCTACATGACCAGCCTCTGACAGTCTCTACTCCCACTGCAGGTGACTATGCAAATAGCTCTAGGAACAGAGAAAATCTACCCCAGCACACAGAGTGTCACATGGTTCAGCTGAGTTAGCGGTGAGAAGCAGCCTAGCACTGTGGAGGATCATGGGCCAGGCATCAGCAGGCCTCAACTACACAATGCCCTGTTCCCGCCATTGATAAAACTGAACCATGGCTTGGCCTTCTATAGCCCATGGAAGCAGTACTCCTGGCCTGCTTTCCTGAGTACATGCTGAAGATCAAATAAGATAGCCCTGATAGGAGTTGGGGAGATGCCTCATTGGATAAAAGTGCTCACTGAGCGAACATGAGGCCCTGCATTCAAATCCTTAGCACCCACATAAAAAGCTGGATGTGGCTTCACACATGCCTGTAACCTCAGTGCTGTGGGAGAGCAGGGAGGAGACAGGAAGATCACTGAGGCTCACTGGCCCCAGCCAAGTTCCAGGTTCAATAAGAGACCCTTTCCCAAATAAGGCAGACAGTGGTAGAGCAGGACACCCAATTTCTTCCTCTGATCTCCAAGTCCAGGCTTAGGTGTATGAATCTGCACACACATATATACAACACATACACCACATACACCACACACACACACACACACACACACACACACACACACACCAAAAAAATTGCAATAAATAATTTTTTAAAGCCCTGTTAATGGTCCAATTTAGGAAGGGACTTAACACCACGTGGCCTTTCCTACTAGAAAGTCACTCATTGAGGGTCAAGCAGCAACCATTAGCTTTGCACATCCTAGTTCTCCCACCATGGGCCCTGAAAAGAAGGAGCGCACAGGAAATGCCTGTAGACAGATGAACGTCAAATCCAGACCCCACTGACGCCCCCAGGACCTCCTGTCCAGTTTCTCGTCTCTCACCTGCTCTCCTCGCCCTCCAGTAGCTTGCGGTAGGTGGCGATCTCGATGTCCAGAGCCAGTTTGACATTCATCAGCTCCTGGTACTCACGCAGCTGCCGTGCCATGTCCTGCTTGGCCTGCTGCAGAGCGGCCTCCAGCTCCTCCTGCTTGGCACGAGCATCCTTGAGTGCCATCTCCCCACGTTCCTCAGCCTCGGCAATGGAAGCCTCCAACTTGGCACGCTGTGGGCAATAGTGGAGCTGTGAGCTGAGGAACAGTCCACCAGTACCACTACCTTCCTATCAACCCATCCTGCAGCAAGTACCTGTCCACCTTGCTTAAGGGGACTTCACTGGCCCTACCTACTCCCTCAAACACCAGAGAATCCTGAAGGCTAAAGACAGGGATACAGAGATCCAATGGTTTCAGAGCCGGCTCTGCCATTTACTAGCTAGGTGGCCTTGGATGAATCAATCCCTAAGTCTCCTCCTTCTAAAAAAGCAATAATCATAGCATCTACTTCATAGGGATACTGCAAGGACAAGATGAGATAAGACACATGAAGTCTTAGCATGATGCTGAGCATACACCAAGTGCTTAATAAACGTTACTATGATTTCCAAACCCTAGTAGTCACCCACCCCCAGTCCAAAGAGCTCCGAGGCCATGGGATCATCATTGGGTCACAAATGCCAGGCAGCTGACAAGAACCAGATACCACCTCTAAAACAGGAACCAGGTGGGAACAACCCAGAACAGAAATTCTGAGATAATACCAGTCATCCCATATGCCATGGGCTACATGAGCCATGGGTTATGGGTTGGAGCAGGGATGGTTCCATTCCAATGGACCTGCATCTTCTGTGAACAGCCACCAATTGCTGCCTGGCAGTAGAGCTCCCTCTGTTTTGGGCACCTCCTCTACTATCATGGTTTAGATTTTGTAATGTGCCCCAAAGAAAGTCCCATGGTCTAGTCTCTAGCTAATAGTTTTACTGGGAAGTGGTAGAACCTTCAGGAGATGGAGTGTGGTGGAAGGAAGAAGGAAGGGGGACATGCCCGTGAAGGAAGCATGGGGCTCTTGTCCTTCTCTCTCTGTCTCTGCTTCTTGTCTATGATGGGATATTTGTACTACCATACTTCCCACTGCAATGGGCTACCCCTCATTACCCACTCAAAGTGATTGTACCAAGCTACCTGGGACTGAAATTGTGAGCCAAAATAATCCTTTTCTCCTTGAAGCTGATTTTCTCAAGCATTTTTCCATATAAGCAAACAGTTGGCTAACACAGCCACTGGCAAGAGCTGTCATATCCTCTCATTCTCTTACTCCCCACGCCCTGGCTCGGAGCATCTCCTCCACCCTTCTCAGGTACCCCTCTCTATCCTGGGGTCCTCCTCCATCAGCAACAGCCCCTGCCTCTTTGCTCCATGGGCACCACTCAGTAGACTCCTCTCACACTAATGCTCCCTGGGCCAGAGGCCTTCAGTAACCTCTAGAGACCCCTCCCACACTCCCTTGAGGCCCTCAAGGGTGACAGTCACCTGACTTTGAGGCCTGGCTCCAGCCTGGAGTGTGAAGGAGATCTGGATGTGGTAGAGACTGAAAGTTTTGAAAAGCCATTCATGATTGATTCTAAGCCTCTCCTCCTGGCCAGGAGGCTAGCCTGCTTCACAGGGTGATTCACAGTCCTGCATCTGAGCCAGGAGGCAGCCTCCACCCTAAAGTGTAAACAGGACTGCAGGGCTCTGGAGAGGACTTCTTGAGTAAACCACCCCATATCTCATACCACAGCTCATCTGAAATAAGTCTGCTAGAGCTACTGCATGCATCACCTGCCCACCCCCACTGTAGACATCTGCTCAGGCTGAGCTGCCCCATCCACATCTATACCTAGTCAGGACTTTGGGGACCCTTTCCTCATCAACAACCCCCAATTCTGGCTTCCAAGAAAGTGCATCTGTGCTCTCAGCCCCTCATCTGAGACCTTCACTCCTATCACGTAATAGGAGTTAAAAGGCAGCATGCAGTTACAGTGGGGTGGAGACAGTCTATAACTAAATTGGAACATCAAACCTTTCAAAGTGTGATAGGTGCTTCAAAGAACTTCAGATCGGTTGCTGATGCCATCGCTGGGTATTTGAGGAAATCATCTCCCAAAAGGGGACTTTGGTCCTAAACCCCAAGAATGAGAAAGCAACAGAGATGGACAGAGCTGGGAGAACCACATTCCAGGTTGAGGGAAAGGCAGTGCAAAGACCTTGGCCCATTCTAGGAAGCAGGCTAGCACACCTGAGCAGAGGGAAGAGGGGAGCTATAGGAAGTAAAGACAAAGGTAGAAACAGGCTTTGAGCCACTGTAAGGATTTCTGGTAGATGAGTCATGAGCCTTAGCTATTGCAGACTACCCAGAGCTAGGGGCATGCAGTGTTCACTGACTTACGGTGATTCCTCTCTGACTGGCCAGCCTGAGTTCCCTTCCACAGGCTCCATGCCCAGCCATAACTCTTCCCTCCAACCCTCAATCAGGCCTTAACCAAGAGCATTCTACCTTGAAGGTCATACCAAGGGGCCTGAGATGTGAGTGCCACCCACCAGCACCCACATCACCCTGGCCTCACAGTGACCTTAACCTCAACAGTGGTCTCTCACAAGCCCCAAGGAGCCGAGAGGAGGAAGGAGGAAGGCTAGTCCCCACCTGGTTCTTCATGGCGTCGATCTCCGCCTGCAGTCTCTGGATGGCACGGTTCATCTCCGCAATCTCATTCCGGGTGTTCCGGAGGTCATCCCCATGCTTCCCAGCCTGGGCTTGGAGGGTCTCAAACTGGAAGGCCATGCAGAGAAGTATGATGGGGCTGCGATGTCACTGCCAATGACTGGGCCTTCTCCCCATCTACAGAAAGCCCTTCCCAGCCCATATTTTCAGGAAAGGCAGCCACCTCCCAGCCATCTCCCCCAAGTGCTAGGAGATCAAACCATAGGGCAGTGGGGTGGAGAAGGGCTCCATCCCCTCCTAGCCATTTCAGGGAAAACTCACAGGCCCTTCCCCACTCTCACCTGGTCCTGGTCCTGGCAAGTCACTGAAAGTATGAAGCATCACCTGTTGAATAACTCCCTCCCACCCCTACACACCTGTCCAACAACTCCCTACCATTTCAGACACAGAGAATGAGTCCAGAGGAGAGGACAAACAACCAGGGATCAAAAAGCGTGGGACCAAGCTGCTCCTAATGAGCATGCCTGTGCTCTTACCCACGTACCCGGGAGGGCTCCATCCTCTACAATGCCTTCAAACCTGGCCTCAGACTCCCTCCTCCTGTAATGAGGGTTTAGCCTACATCCCCTCCCATTCCCTAAGCTGTCCTGACTCCATGAAGGGTGAATAATGATTAAGCCTCCCAGGCCTGAAACCCTACGTTTCAGGATCTAGTCCCTCCTCTTTCATCTTGTAGATCAAAGTGCAGAACTAGAAAATTCACTTAGCCTCTCTGTGTCTCACTTTCCTCATGTTTAAAATGTCAATCACAAGGACTGGAGAGATGGCTCAACAGCACCGGCTGCTCTTGCAAAGGGCCCAGGTTCAATTCCCGACACCCACATGGTGGCTAACAACTGTCTGTAACTCCAGTTCCAGGGAATCCTATGCCCTCTTCTGACCTCCACAGGTACTGCACAACATGGATACACCTACCTACATACAAACAATGCACTCATACACATAAAATAAGAAATAAAATATTTAAAATGTCAATCATAGTGATGCACACCTAAAAGAGCTATTCTATAAATTAAATGTGCAAAGAGGCAGAGCGTTTAACACATTGTATAGCATAGTGTAAGTAGCCATGCTGTCAAGTACTATGTAACTGCTAAATTCAACTTGTGTCTCTTTCCTCTGCCTGTTCCCCCATCAGGCTGTGCTCTCCCACAGGTCCAAGGACCTACCTGGCCTGCTGGCTCTTCTTTCCAGACTTTAGAACACCACACAGCCTTAACCACTAGTGTCTGCCAAGCCCTAAAGGCTGAAGACCAAGTGAGGAGAAAGGGAAACTGTCACCCAGGACCCTGGCAGGAGGAAGAAAGATACCTCAAATGGCCACACACCTTGGTCTGGTACCAGACTTCAGCCTCAGCCCGGCTGTGGTTGGCCATCTCCTCATACTGGGCCTTGACCTCAGCAATGATGCTCTCTAGATCTAGGGAGCGGTTGTTATCCATGGACAGCACCACAGATGTATCCGAGATCTGGGACTGCAGCTCTGCCAACTCCTGCAGGAACCAGACAGAACAGTGGACTGTGTGCTTAGGACATGATCTATCCCTGTGCCTACCACCACACTGGAACCCACCCCAAGGAAAAGAAAAGGGAAAGAGAAGCTAGAGTAGGCAGAGTGGCCAGGCAGTGAGGGCCATGGTTCCAGCACAGGCTGAACAATCTGCTCACCCTGGCTCCTGGCATCTCCAATAGCAGAGTCTGATAGGATTAGAAGGGATAAAGAGACAGTGCAGTGCATATGATGGATCCTCTGAAATTCCCCTCAGGGTTCAAGCTCTAGTGTGATGGGAACCAGTGGGGATGATGAAAAAAATCATATTCCACCATGCAATGGAATACCATACAGATGTGTTTTCAGGTGGGGAAGCATGTCTACAGTATGCTGTTAGCTGAAACAAACAAGGCTACTTTAAAGATATATAGAGAGAGATATAGATATAGATATAGATATCAGCTGGGCATGGCAGCTCACAGCTATAATCCCAGCACTTGGGAGGCTGTGACAAAGGGATCATAAATTTGAGGCTAGCCTGGGTACACAGTGAGTTCAAGATTAGTCTGGTTTAAATAGGCAGACTCTGACTCAAAACAAAATGAATGTGCGTGCGTGCATGTGTGTGTGTGTGTGTGTGTGTGTGTAAGAACACAGGAAAAAGTCTGAAAAGATAAATACAAATATGGTAACGGTGGGTTCAAGCATTTGGGTTTTCAGCTTTACTTAATTTTCTGTATGTTTTTCAATGAATATGTATTACTTTCACAGTGAGAGGAAACTACGTAGTTTATACATATATATATATATATATATATGCATATAGTCACATATACACTACACACACACACACACACCAAATATGGGGAGACCTGCCCCAAGCTTAGATTGCCTGAATAGCCTCAAGGCCCCCACCCCTGACAACAGCATAGCCTGTAGACACCACTCTAAGGAGCTAATGGAAGCTGGATGGTTAAAGAAAGACTAGACTCAAGAGATCTAAGAAGTGGTCGATACCTAGCCTCAGCCCAGCCTCTGCCAGATGATGGCCACACTATCTTCTGCCTAAAGGTAGGAGGTGACACAGCACACTACCCTAGGGCCTCACCGTCTCATTGAGGGTCTTGAGGAAGTTGATCTCATCATTCAAGCTGTCCACCTTGGCTTCCAGCTCCACCTTGTTGATGTAGGCAGCATCTACATCCTAGGGTTGGGGACAAGACAGAGAAATACCATATCCTCAGCACAGGGAACATTCAGTAGTGATAAGAACAAGCCAGCCCAGTCCAATCCCCAGGACCAGACACCCCTGCCTCCCTAGAAAGGGATCCAGAGCTCCCCTCCCCAGCCCTCCAGGCTGCTTGCTGGGTAAAAGCCAGCTCTATATGCCTCCAAGACTAGTACAGCCTTCCCAATGCTGCAGCCTGGAACACCCTAGGCCCCAAACCAAGCACCTGACCAGTTCCTAAAGGCCTCATAATATGGATACACTCCTGGCTCTGCCACGACTGGCTGTGTGACTGGAACAAATCACTTCTGTACCGAAAGCCATGGAAGAGCATACCATCAATCATTCAGATCCCCCATTACCCTCCTAGGGATGAGAACTCTAGCTGGCCTGCTTAACTGGCAACATGGGTGACTCCAAGGCAGGTGAGCTACAGGTGACAGCCCAGGCGGACAGATGTGATAGCTACTTTTACATCACTATGACCAAATGTCTGACAGAAACAAGGGAGGACAGATTTATTCTGGCTCACAGTTTCAGAGGATTCAGTACACCATGGTGGGAAAGCACGGCAAGGCAAGGTAGGTCATGTCGTGGCCGACGGGGCAGTTCTGGTATGCTTCTGGCTTCCTTCTTCCCCCTTTATTCTGTCTGGGGCCCCAGTCCATGGTTTGGCATTGCCCACGCTCAAGATGAATCTTCTTCCTTCAGTTAATCCTCTCTGGAGACACCCCTCAGACACGCACAGAGGTGTGCCTCACCAATCTCCCAGGTGACTGTTTTTTGAGACAGGGCCTTACTCTGTGTCCCAGCTGGCCTGGGACTCATTCTGTAGACCATGCTGGCCTCAAACTTGCAGCAATCCTTTGCCTCAGCCTGTCAAGTGTTGGGATCACAAGTATGTAAACATCTAATTCCTAAGTGATTCTAAATCCAGCTAAATTGACTATGAAAATTAACCATCACACTGTCCTAGCTATACTTTCCTGGGTGAACCTGTGAGCAGGCCCAATGCTCCTCATTTCTGAGTCTCCAAGGGCCCAGCTGTGTGAGGCAGGCTAGGCCTGGAATATAGAGCTGCTCAGTAAGAGGACTTGGTCTTCAAATTTTAAAGAGCACACATCACCAATCCCTCTAAGATGTTCCTAAGGCCTTCCAAAATCTCTTTGCATATCTCCAGGGACAGAGAGCACATCCTGCCTGGAGACAGGTCATAGCTCACTCTGCAAACATCTGAGGCCAGCCAGGAGCCACCATGTCTAGGATGAAATGTTCTTATTCCGACAGGGCACGTCCTTGTATGAGTTTAAGACTCCCTCTCAAAACCCAGTCCTTTGGTGTTAGTTCTAATCCTGAAGGTCTAGAAACAAATGTATTAATTCGCCAGAGATGGTGCACACATGTGCACAGACACACACACACACACACACACACACACACACACACACACACGCACGCACACACAGAGAACAGGCTGTGTTACTCCAGCCTGACTTCCAGGCCTCCCCCTAAGCCTATCATTCCCCTTTGTACAATCCAGACAGGCTTTGGCCACAGATCTCCAGTTGTATGAATGGGACACAGTCGTGAGGTGTGTGTGGTACAACCCTCCAGCCCCTCTGCCCCTCACCTTCTTTAGCACCACAAATTCATTCTCAGCTGCTGCACGCCTGTTGATTTCCTCTTCATACCTGCAGGTGGGAAGGGGAGTGGTGATGGTGCAACTTTGCCTCCAAACCTTCATATTCGGATGTCAATCAGCTCTCCCTTCACTCTACTCAATGGCACACCTGAGAGAGCGGGTATCAGGGTTACAAAATCGAACTTCTCTTACTTCTTGGTAGCTGGTCATAGGGCTTTGAATTTCAGAATGGAAGGGAGGGGCTCTGGAAGTGTATGTGAATTAGAAACCAAAGGAGAGGGAAAATGAAGCCATTTGGGGACCTGCTTTGTGAGGCCTGCATTGGCATGCACTTCCTGTGTGCTCACTGACTTCTCTCTCCCGACAACCCTACAATATTGTACTGTGACTGTCAGGGAGGAAGATGGAGGCATAGAGGCAGGTTGCATGCCCACACCACAGGGCTGCAAAGAGACAAAGCCCAGGCTCGAGCCCCAGCAGCTAACTCCACAGTCCATGCCCTGAGCATTAGCTAAGCCATCCCTGAGGTGTGAAGAGGGGTTTGAAAGGGGAAGAAGGTTATAGAATCAGGACAGAGCACATATGAAGTCCTGAAGTACCAGGTTACTACTGGGTCGTTCAGTCCCCCATCTTCCCAAATTCCTCTTCCTCCCAAGAAGCTGGTCCCCTGGTCTTGAAAGGACCTCCACAGCAAGGCAGAGAGAAAGCAAGCACATTGGCCTGTCCCAGTGTTTATTTGGGAACTCAAAAATAGATGCGGAAATGGGAGCTCAGCAGTGCCCAAGAGCTGTCAGGAGTGGCAGGAGCAGCCTGGACGGCTTTGGTGGAGAGCAAGGTGCACACATAGGCGGGGCACTATGTGTGTGCAGCCCAGGCTTTGGGCATCCATGCTCGCCCCCCGGCGGGCACTTCAGTCCTACAGATGCTGTAGATATATCTGCAAGGCCCTCTGCAGCCCCGCCTTGGTGCTGCACTGCTGGGCCCAGGGTGCACTGATTGGAGCATTCTGAGTACCCAATTCCTTCCCTGTGCCTGCTGTCAGTTCCTCTCTCACCCTCTGCCTAGAGCTCGGGAGCCAGGTGCTCTGAGGGCCTTGGGTGAGGGGAGATGGGTGTGGGGTATACCCATTCTGTGAGTCTCTGAAGACAGAGGCTGGCTGGTTACCCAGATTCCCCTGCCCTGCACCTGTCTAGCTCCACCTGCTATGGGATTAATCTGTTGACTTTTGTCCAAAAGGAAGCAGCAGGTAGGAGACACTCCCCAGAGGTCCTTTTTGCTCTCCTCCAGTCAGAGCCAGTGTGCCTGGTCCTGCTTAGTCATACAACCACAAGAAGAGCACATTGGTTACCCCCAGTGCCCATGGACAAGGTGGGGGGGTCAGGGTGAGACCCAGCTCACAGCTAGGGTTTAGTTTCTGTTCAGTGAGAAGAAAGAGCTTCAAGAGCATTCAAATGCCTGTCCACAAACCCCAGGCTTCCGGCCTCTAGCAGCCTCTTTCCTAAGTCTGCCCTGACCAGGACACTCACCCCTGAGCCCTTCCCATCAGTCTCCTCACTGCCACTTTCCTTCCCACATCAGTTCTTTGGCCCCTTCGGGGCATTACTGACCAGAAATTCAAGTCCTAACTCCCAGTGGCCTACTACATGATCTTGACTAAATCCCTGAACCTCTTTGGTTTCCAATTCTTCACCTGCACAGAACAAAAAGCTGCTCTAGAATTATCTGTAAGGGCTACACATTCTAAAGCACTCCAATCGTGAGACTACACTATCCTCTAAGGTCTTGAGGCCTTAGTCAGGTACCCAAAGGGAACCAGGAACATCAGGATGGGCTGAGTTATTTCCCTTGACTGAGTCAGGGGAAAAGACCAGAATGACCCAGGAACAGCCCTCAGGGTAAAGAAGGGAGAGGAGAGGAAAGACTGTGTCAACAAAGGCCATTTCTTAAGGAGTTACTGTGCTGCACAGCTGTGCATCCTGACCCCTGAACCAAAGGCTCTTGTGGAGTACTAGTGGGTGAGAGGCACATTGTCCCAGGGCTAGGATCCTCAAAGTGGCACTAGAGGGCATTACTTATTCTTGAAATCTTCCACCACATCCTGCATGTTCCGAAGCTCCACCTCCAGGCGGCCCCCATCCAACTGCAATGCTTCCAGCTGTCTCCGAAGCCCAGAAATCTGGGCCTCAAAGATGCCAGGGAGCTGGCTGCTCTTGGCTGACTTCTGCTGCTGCAGCAGTGCCCACTTGGTCTCCAGCATCTTGTTCTGCTGTTCCAGGAAGCGTACCTGGAAGGGTGTGAGGGAGGAGACTCCTGAGGGGCCAGCCAAGCCACCACAGGGTGTTAAACATAGCCTGGAGCCACTTAGCTGGTCTCCAGTGCACACTCCTCTCCTCTGGAATAAATCGGCTTGGTTCTGTAATATATCAGTTTCCAGACAATTTTGCCCCCATGGCATTCTCTACCTCTGCCCTTTAAAAGGCCCCTTTCTTCTCTGAAGCTGGGGGTGAGGGGGTGTTGGGGGAGGCAGTGAGTGGGCTGGCCCTTCCCTCCAGGCTGGAAGTTCTCATCCTTCCTTGGTATGGTCTCTCTTCCCCTTTGCTCCAGTCAAGCCTCAGGGCAGCATGCTAAGATAAAGCTCTTGTGCCCAGCCCCAGGGGCCAAAAAGGCCCTAAAGGAGCACTCAGCATACTGGCAGGTGGGAGGCAAGGGTGGTTGCCCCAAACCCAGCAACTTAGGGAGTCAGGAGCTGAGGTAGAACTATACACCTCAGCATCAAGGCGGGAACCTAGGCGCTGGGCAGCCGGAGAGGCTTCAGCCTAAGCAGAAGGATGCAGGACTGAACAGTACAGACAGGAGGATCGAGGGGGGCACTGAGGCAGGGAAAGTAGGCCCTAGCCAGAGCCACAACTCGCTACAACCCTCAGTTTCTGGTTCCAGCTCCACTGGGCCTTTCCCTGAGACTCACCGAGTCAGTCTCTCTCACTTGAACCAAGTGTGCCACTCTCATCCCCAGAAGTCCATGTTTGGCAGCAATGGACAGGCAGGAAGAATACCTTCCAAAGGGCTCCTTTCCAGTGTCCCTCAGCCCCTGTCCCCAAATGAGCCATCTCCAGAGGCAGATGTAACCTCACCTCCTACCAGCAAGGCAGGTGGAGGAACAGGCAAGTAGGTTGGGCCAGGAGCCTCCCTCCACAAGGCTGTTATTCTCAGCACCTGCCTCAGAGGCAATATTCTTTCCACTGGGAAAGGTGTATCATCACCCCACCCCATCCTTGACTCCCCTACGGAAAAAGGGGCCCAGACAGCCAAGAACGAACTGCTGGACTTTGCCTCTGAGCTCCCAACCTGATACCTGTGATAAAGTGGCTTTAAAAGCCCCAGAGGGCTCGGACACAGCCAGATGGAGTGATGGACCTGGCAACATTCCTGGAGGAAAGGGAGGGGCCCACGGCCAGCTGCCGGAGAACGGAGAGGACTCGGAGACCAAGAGAGATATGAAGAGAGGGGGGCAAGTCACAAACGGACAGGCGCCCGGCCTTCCAGTGCCTGGCCCGCGCATCAGAGCTTGGGCAGAACTTGGGCAGCTCCTGACTGCCTCACCTTGTCGATGAAGGAGGCGAACTTGTTGTTGAGGGCCTTGATCTGCTCACGCTCCTCCTGGCGCACCTGCTGGATGGTGGGGTCGATGTCCACACGCAGCGGCGCCAGCAGGTTCTGATTAACGGTGACCTCGCGAATGCCGGCGCCCTCCGGGCCCGCATAGGAGGAGCGCACGGCCACGCGCGGCCGGGAGGCGCCCAGGCCGTAGAGGCTGCTGCTGCCAAAGCCTCCTGGGCGGCCGGAGCTCAGGCGCCCCTGGGCGCTCCGGCCCGGGAAGGCGGTGGAGCGCGAGCTGAAGTGGATGGACATAGCGGCCGGGCGAGGCTGGAGAGCTCTGGCGCGAAGGGCGGATGAGGAGCGGCGCGAACTCGCTGACCTAGGGCAGCTCGCGCTCTTTTATCCCTCGGCGCAGGCGGCGGGGCGCACTCAGGTGGTTCGGGGCGGAGCTGGCCAGCGGCCACCTTTCTCTACCGCCTGGGGCCTCCCGGCCGGCAGCCTGCTCCCGCGCCGCCCCCAGCCTCCGCCCGGGCTCTGTCCGCTCAGGAAGGGTCTGCAGAAGGCAGAAACAAACGCCATGCCGCGACAGCCCGTCCCACACAGGTAGCCGCGGGCGCCTGAAGCCCAGCTATCCTTGACCTCGGGGAGACCACCTTACCGATGGCCGTAGATGGCTTTCTGGGGCAGGCCTGGGAAATGAATTCTCCAGGTTCCTGAGACCAGCAAGCAAGCCAAGCGCATCAGAAGGGAGAATGAAGTGGACAAAACTTTGCAGCTCCATCCCGGACGTCCAAACCCCCAATAGGTAGGCTAGGGAAGCCAAGGGCATTCTGTGCACTCCCCCCACCAGTCCGGCTGCTCCTTGAGAGAGATCAAGTCAATCCTTTTTTCTTTTTTTAAAGAAAGGGTCTCCAGTCCCATGTAGACCAGGCTACCACTGATCTTGTAGAAATGCACCTGCCTCTGCCTCTGCTGAGATTAAAGGTGTGGACTACCATGCCTGGCCAGTTTAGCTTTTGAGTAACCTGACCCATGGCTTACCTCACTGTTTCCCCCCACACACACACCCCAAATTTCCACATAGAAATTGGTCCCTCCTCATCCCTCTCCATCCAAGTTCAGAAACTGGTGCTCCTATGTTCACCTGTGTGGAAATGCTTCCATTCACATCCAAACACTTCTCCCCACCCTGCCCCCATTTTCCTATTTAAAGACCAATCGGGCTCTCCTCTGATCCATCCCCCACTGATAGCTAGCAACAAACAATTCCCTGAAATTTCTAGAATCCAGTGGAAGGGAATCAGCCACCCAAGTAGGGTCTGTAGCAGCCAGTGTGTTCACCGTACCTCCGAGCAGCCTCCTCCCTCCATTTTCCCCACACCCACTTGGTCAGCCTTCAGACCATCTCTAGTCCTAACCAGTGAGCCAAGTCCTTAGGAATGCTGGGTGGGGGAGGGTGGGAATGATATATCCTTCCTGGTTCACCATTTCAGTTAGAACCCCTAAGCAGGTAAAAGAGACCCTGTTGTTCACACACACACACACACACACACACACACACAAACACACACACTCCAAGTCCTTTACCCCTCAGGTTGCATCCTCGATTCTTAGACTGTCTACACCTCACCCCATGTCCTACCTCTGGCCTTGGTCACCTCTCCCCACCCCCAACCCTTTCCCAACTGGACTGACCCTAAAGGAGTCACAGACCCTCCCCAGGGGTGAGCACCTAGAGAAAGCTGGGGAGCACATTGCAAGGGGAAAGGTGCCTGGACTCTTCAGCCCAGGCCTCAGACCCCACAACCACCACACACACCCTTGAGAGATATTTCCCCATTCCAGGGCATGCCCAACATCCGCCCTGGGCCTCTTGACCCCTCCCTGAAACATTCTTAGAGGCTCTGGTGCTGGCTGGATTCCTCCAGCCTCCACATTCCCAGGCCAGTGCTGAGAGGACACTGAGTGCCAGGCCAAGGCAGCACATACACACACAAATGTCCTCTGGAGGACTTCACAGAATACTGCCAACCCCTGGAAGCCTCCCATCAAATTCCTGCCCTGAGGGAGTTCACAGTCTAGTCCAAATCCAATCACTCACAGACACCCACTCACATGCCCCTGGTGGCCTCACAGAGACAGCCTTCCAAAATCCTAGATTAGCCCCACAAAGCCTTTCTCCCGTGGTCTTCTGCCCAACTCAATGACAGCATTCTGTCACACACACACACACACACACACACACACACGCACACAGCCACTTTGTCTTCCCACTCTCCTCACTGTTGCACTGTGCCCTCTGGAACCCAGCCACAAAGAGCAGCGGCCCCCAGTGCCCAGCCCTACCCATCTTCACTAATCCTGACCTGGTCACCTGGCTCCCGCCATCCTGCTCCCAGTGGACCTTTTGGCTCCTCTCAGAGCAAGAAAGAGACATAGTCATTACTATGACTCATAGTCCAGCACCTAAAAACACATTGATTCTTAAAGAAAAAAAAAAAATCCTTATCTTTTTCATTATCTTGGAATGTTAATGCTTCTAAATCATAATAAAAGCCACTTAACATTCTAGGTGGACTTCTGGGGGATGTAGCTCAGTGGCCACTTAACATTCTAGGTGGACTTCTGGGGGATGTAGCTCAGTGGCAGAATGTTTGACCAGCATGCATATGGTCCTAGGTTCAATCCCTGGTAGTGGAAAAAAATTATTCACAGTTAAGTGATAAAGGAAAAGGAAGTTTGTGACAACCAGCAGGACACACTCCTGAATATAAACCACCCTACAGAAACATGGGCAACAGACACAGTGTGAGCTATTGCCTGCCTACTATACATGTGCCTGCCCTGCCCAAAAAGCTTCAAACCTAATTAAGCCATTTTGTTCCTACCATATAACCCTCGACACAGGAATGAATGTGCTATGTGTTCCCCTTTTTTGGCAGGGTTTCACAATGTAGCCCAAGCTGACCTCACTCTTGATGCTTCTGCTCCAGCCGCTTGGGTGCTGGGCTTACAGGCATGGGCCACCACTCCCAGTTATCATCCTCGTGTTAAAAGAAGAGGCACAAAGAACTTAAGGAACTTGCCCAAGCTTATGCTCACACAGCTAGTATATAGAAAAGTTAAGATTTGGACCCCAGTCATTAGAATCATTACATCACTTGAAGAAAATAATAACCATGGGGTGGACTGAAAAGATCATGGTCAAAAGTGCTGGCTGCTCTTGCAGAAGACCCGAGTTCAGTTCCCAGCACCCACATCAAGTGCTTCACAACCACCTGTAACTCCAGCTTCAGAAGCTCCAAAGTCCTCTTCTGGCTTCTGTGGGCATTTGAATACATGTACACACACACACACACACACACACACACATACACACACACACACACACACACACACGAATAAATAAAAATAAAAATTTTTAAAAACAATAGGAAGAAGGAAAATCAGTTAGCAAATATAAAAATGCTGAGCCCTGCTCAAATTGGGGTGGAAAAAAGAATAGACATGAAAAGTCAAGACAGACGTTGCGACACATACCCATAGTCCCAGCACCGGGGGAGGTTGACAAAAGAAGATGGTGAGTTCAGGACCAGCATGAGCTGCATAGTAAGACCTCATCTCAGAAGACAACAACAGCAGAACCAAGGTGAAATCCCTTTTTGCCTGTCAAATTATCTAAGACTGAAACCTCCATTAGCAGCATTCCAAGAGGGTGGCTGTGCAGGTAGCAGTAAACCTTGTCCTTTGCTGGTGGGTTATTGGTTGTCACATCCTCTTGCAGGGCAAGTCAGCAAAGGATCTCAGAAGTAAGACGTTAACCCTTACATTAAAAAGTAAAACAAAACAAATGCACCCGTCCCTGACCAAGGAGCTCCACTGCCAAGTTCTTCTCCCCCAGGTGTTCACAGCAACAGCACACATGTACATATGGCCCCTGCTGCAACTGTCTTACATTCAAGGAAAACTTGAAACCTAAGTGCCCGTGGATAGGGAACTCAATAAATGAGCTGAATTAGCTGTATTCAGCAGAATGCTATTTATTGAAACAAATACATTTCATACAGTACAGTACATTTCAAAGAGGCTTTAACCTTTACACATTGACTGCAAAATCCACATGGTTTTACGTTATTTTTATTGCTTTTTTAGGTTAGCATACAGAGTAATGGGTTTCATCGTGGCATGGGCATGCTGGCATGTCATTGGGTTTTGTTCTCATCACACCCCTCCCCCACCTCACCTTCCCATGGCTCCGCCCACCTGCAGCTAGTCCCCTCACCCACATAGTCTCCACCCTCCCTTTCTCAGCACATTACCGTTACCCCCATTTCTCGCCTCCTTTGTGGTCCCTTTCCTCTCATGATCTCCTTTCTAGGCTTACACACACACACACACACGCGCACACTCCCGCATGCATACACACACATAGACAATTGTAAATCTAGGTTCCGAACATGAGAAAGCATGCAGCGTTTGTCTCTCTGAGTCTGGCTGGCTATCAGAGTAATTTATAATACCCTCCAGGGTTCATGTAGCCGGTTATAACATGCCTCCTCCGTCTGCTGTGGCTGCTCCCTGATGGTCCACAGCCACCTCCTGAAATCCTGGCCACTATCTCATGGGCACCAGTGACACTGGCATCCAGGTCCTGAGACTCCTCCTCACCCCACATTCTCATCTCCCACACAGGTGATCTACCCACATCTTACCCTCCAAATTCCTTGAGCTGCTCAATTCCAGAAACTTTCATCTTTTTTCTCATGACTCCACCTCTAATCAGACTAGACCCTAAAACGTTCCATCTGGAGGTCTTAAAGTACTTTCTCAGCTACACCAGCTGGTCCAGCTTGGACTTGATCTCTCTCTCTCTCTCTCTCTCTCTCTCTCTCTCTCTCTCTCTCTCTCTCTCCTCTCTCTCTATGTCCAAAAAAGCCCACTTCCCAGCGAGAGATGGGGCATGTACTATAATCACTAATCCCAGCATTTGGGAGGCTGCGGCAGAAAATTTGCTGCAAGTTTGAGGCCAGCCTGGGTTATAGAGTAAGAACCTATTGTGAAAACAAGCAAGCAAGAAGCAAGCAAGCAACCGAGCGAGCGAGCAAGCCAGAAAGAAAGAGAGAGAAGAGGAAAGGACACATAACCCCCAAATTCAGCATCAACACCAATGCCAGGACTCAGCTCAGCTGCATCCTCTATGTTACCGGGCACTCCTCCCTGCCCTTTGGTCTGCGGTCTCTGCCAGGCCTCCCCAGTGCTTCAGCAAGCTTCGTAGCCCTCTTTCTATTCCCCACCTTACTCCCTCCCCTCTCCCTCCACAAAGAATAATATGTTCTT